CCCCAAAACCCCAAAACCCCACACAAATATATATTGATGGAATTCAAATGATTATTAAAATAGATATATTTAAGGTTATAAAATATATATAATTCTTAATTACTTTGAAAGAATAATAAATTAGTAAATTTCATTATTAAATTGATCAAAAATCAAAATTTAGGATGATACATTCTTTTGAACCCCCTCTGAATATTAAAGACTATGTATTTAGTAAGATTCTAGGTGAGGGTGGAAATGGATTAGTTTGCAAATACATGAAAAATAGTTAGCCTTTTGCAATCAAAATGTAAAAGCACTCAGCAAATATGTCTCTAACTAAGGAAAAAATATTCCTTTACAAAATGCAAAAAAAGTAAAGTTAAAAGGACAGTTAAATCAACTTTATTCCCAGAATCCCAATTATGTATGGAGATGGCTCACTAAATATTCAAATAAAATCTGAGTAAGTTTCTTTTTTAAAATGCTTTATACTACTAATTAGGCAAGGAGAAGTTTTAAGGAATATTGGAGTGTCTTACTTAGTATTAGAATACTTCGATTCAAATTTAACTGAGTATTTTGAAATTTAGGCGAAAAGTGGCATTTAGGGTCAGCTATCAGTCTTTGAAGAAATAATTAAATTAATGAGATAACTTCACTCATAAAATTATGTACACAATGATATCAAACCAGACAATTTTATGATTATAGCAGATCAAGTAGGTTAAAGCACAGTTTGCCTAATTGATTTCGGAGCTGCAGAGGAGTTTTCTTAAGAAAAATTTGATAAAATAGGTAAATTTGACCTTATAGGCACACCACTTACTGCATCTGTATATGCTCATCAGCAATTTTACACATGCTAAGGTGATGATTTGATATCTGCTTTCTATTCATTGCTCTTTCTAAGTTTGGATCAAAATCTTCCATGGTATTAACTTTGCCTTGATTACGACAAAGCTGAACAGAAAAATGGCATTTTGGAAAAGATAAAAGAATAAAAAATCAAATTGGAGCGAGATTATAATTTATTTGGATTGTTTTAAAATGCCTTGATTAGGTAAATAAAGTAATTTGAAATGTTAAGAGGCGAATAGCCATCCAAGTATACCACTTAAATAGATTATGATTTAATTATAGAGTAAGTAAAAAATGAATGCTTGAACTTATCTTAATAAGAAAATTTAATTATACCGAAAGCTGAAAGTAATTCAATTATTTAAGATGAATAGATTGAACTTTAGGACATTGAAAATTAATAATGTAAAGATAATTAGCCTATTGATGAGCACTTTAATAATAATTCTTAAGTCATCAATTTGGAAGATGAAGTTAAACCTTCTAAATTTTCATGTTCATCTTCATAAAAATTATGAGAGAAAAATTTAACATCTCCTCGCCACTCAAATTCAATTAAGGAAATTTCTTAAGCAAATAATATTGAAAATTATTAAATATAAGAAGAGAAAAAAAATAATAATACTTATTAACGACGATCTATTGAAAATTCATTACAAAATAAGAGACGAATTCAAGAAAATTAAACCATTAAAAACTAATATCAGAGTTAGTATAATGGAAGTTTAGATGATGATTGCGAAAGGTAATTATTGGTGAAAAATACGAATGATCTGGAAAGAAATAAAAAGAAAGGGTAAACTGATCGCAAAAAAAAGAGTAATTATATCTAATTTATTTTTACAGAACGATCTAAATATTCTAAGCAAATTAGTTTTATGTGTGTACTTTCATGCTTCTGTATCTTTTTCCGTTTATGCTTTAAGAAAAGATGATTTATTTGATAAATATTCTGGGTAAGAATCTTGATTAAGCACATAAATTATCATTAATTCGCTGACATTAAATTATTTCCAATTAAGAATAAAATTTTAACATTAATATTCATAGAGATACCATCTCTAATTACTTAACATTTTATAACTAGGGGTTTTGGGGTTTTGGGGTTTTGGGG